TCATTCTCTTCGGCTATAAGGGTAACCAACAAGTAATCACCACGACTCTGTCCACGAATTCCATAAAACGATGAAATGTGGGAATCACTCCGATCTCGCACGAAAAAGAAACAGTCTCCCTCGGAAGTACAAACTGTAACCCTTCCTTTGAAACAGTCGATCGTGGCATGAAAAGAAGCTAACCAATCCATCCCGAGAATGACATCAAAGCTAGTCATTTCTAGGAGGATAAGGTCAAACACAAAAGTCCGCTCGGCTATCACAATGGAACAGTCCCTCACGACTCGGCTCAAAGACACTGAAACTCCAACTGGTGTATCAACACATAATGCCCGATCCATAAAACTGACCTCTAACCCCGATGCAAGTGCAAATGATGATGAAATGAAAGAATGAGATGCACCAGAATCAAACAAAACACGGGCCCAAGAACCAAACACTGGAAATATACCTCGGAGAACTGAAGATCCAGGAGATGCATCAGTCGATGATGCAAGGGCAAAGACACGCCCCTGCGGTGCCTGTGCCAGTGAACTACTAATCTGAACACCAGACTGTTGTGCCGACACAGTAGGAGTATCCCTCCTAGCTGGTCGTGAACCCTGAGAAGATAAGGTAGGCTGTGGTGGTGGCGGCGGTGGTCTGAAACCTGATTGAACCGTAGCCGACTGTAACGGCCTCTGCCGTGACCCTCTGCCACTAGTGGTGCCTGCTCCCTGACTCGGACAGTCCCGAATCAAATGGCCCTGCTGGCCACACCCATAACAAGCCTTCGGAGCTGAAGAAACTGAAGTCAATCTCATGGGACAACTGGACTTGTAATGCCCAGGCTACTAACATTGAAAGCAAACAACTGCACTCCTATCAGACCCAGCTGGCAACGGAGTGGTAGGAGCAGATCGTACAGACTGCTGTCCCTGAAACTGAGATGGACCGCTCCTGTTCCTTTTCCAAGAAGATCCTTCTGAAGATGGCCCTGCACCCCTCTTTTGCTTCAACTGCTCTCTTCTTGCATCCTTCTCTTTATTATCAGCTTCCAGCATCAAAGCCCTTTCCACTACTTCAGAGTAAACCTTAATGAACTGTGCCGTGATCAACGGCCTCATCCGATCATTAAGACCAGAAACAAACTTCCGAGTCTTGTTAACTTCATCTCTCACCATTTCTGGAGCAAAGCGAGAAAGTGAAGTGAACTTGTTTTCATATTCTGCCACTGCCATGCTCCCTTGGATAAGGTTATGAAACTGGTCTTGTAACTCCCATCTTTTGGAAAGCGGAAAGTACTTTTCATAAAACAATTCCTTGAACTTGTCCCAACTCATCTCTTCCACCTTGTATCGGCTCGTAACCGACTTCCACCATAATTTAGCATCCTTAGCAAACTTATAAGTAGCTAGGATGATCTTCAAATGATCCTCTGTCACATCCATATAAGTCAATTGAGTTTCAACTTGCTCCATGTAGTCATCTGCTATCATTGGATCCGCACCGCCCTCAAACATAACCGGCATCAGCTGAGAAAACCCCTTAATAATCTTGAGACGCTTCTGAGCTGGTGTCTCCTCAACTTGAACTGTAGGTTGTGGTGCCGACTGCGACTGAGCAGCAATCGTTGCCCTCACGACATTTTGCAACAAACGATTAAATTCCAGTGCCACAGAACCTTCACCCACTTCTACGGGTGCTTCAACATTATCCCTCCTTTTGGGGACAGTTCTCGGGGGATCAAGTCCCTAAGAAGTGTGTCCTCATCATTTAGCTCCTCCGGATTGGAGCTGGAGCTCTCGCCAACATCACCCCTAGTCGGTCTAGGGCCAACTTCCCTAATTTCCTCACGCCGTGACATCGTTCTATAAAACAAAGGAAACAATTCAATAACGATAACACTAAGGTCCAACCGTGAACAACCTAACGCAAAAACATACTGTACAAACATTTAGCATGTAATACTATGCAATGAACACATTAATGTAAGCATATAAACATATAAGCACGTAAGCAAGTAAGTAGTTAAACATGTTTTTTCACATAGCAAAACACTTTTCCAAATAAGGAAATAACAATGCAAACGACTTCCCAAACAACCCTAGGCAAGCCTCTATCCGTCGTCCTAATGGTATTCGAACCATCGCTCTGATACCAAATTTGTAACGACCTTAGCTGATGCCAAAAATTAAAAAAAATTCGGCATAACCTCCCCTAAAAATGGGCCTTCAACAACCTGTCCCAAGACATAAAACACATAAAATCATCTAGCATCCCATTCATCCGTTTATTAAACCTTAACATAGTTCCTTTCATGGTGGAACATCCACACACCAATTAATCTAAATTATCATAATTACAGTCCCAAAATACAAGATTAATATTTAAAGTCCCTGTCTTACAACGTTACATGATACAATTGCATGAAAACATATACCATAATTCCACTAGTTTCATTTACATCAAACAAAAGATAAGTTCGTTCTTAAGTTACAAGGCCATGAATACTAACTTAGTTACATTTCCACAACTACAAATATACATAGAACGGTCAAAATACAAAATAGCAAACAACCTTCTAACAACTTTGAAGCTTGAGGTGGATTGTCGTCCACCAATTCATTTCCAAAACTTGAAAAAAATAATATAAATAGTAGGGTGAGCATAAAGCTCAGTAGGTGACACTTAAGACACACATCTTGTGTCCTTGTGAATCCAAACAAAGCATAGGCCAATGGGAAATGGGGATCATACAATGTCGGGAAATAATACAGCATAACGATTCAATGTCAAGTATATCCAATGCAATGGTATGAGACGCAATGCATGCTAGTGTCGTTCCCCATTTTCATAATCCAAAACATTGTTTCCAAACTGTTAATACAGCCCGCCCTTTGGTAGCCCCGCCGCGACACGAGAGGAGGATTGGCTAGTGTCCCTGACCCTTGGTAACCCCGCGGCGTCATTATGGGGCCCAGCTAGCTCAACCACGCTAGGGCGACTCCCTAGTCCCCTCTAGGCTATATTAACTTCCGGCCCGTTGGTAACCCCGCAGCGACCGGGTTTCGCATAAAACCATTTCATCAAAAACACTTCCCTGAAATTCCCCATATTTATTTCAAGAACAATTTCTCCCATTTCATGCAAACCCAATGGTATGTACATGTATATATGTTCCATACATTCAATGTCATGGCATTTAAAATTCTACACCATAAAATTAAACATTCAATATGTTCAACATCTCCCAAGTAATTATTAACACATTAAGATATAACAAAATACATTTAAGCATGCTTTACACATAAAACAACTCACATTCAAATATATGAATTTCTCTAGACAACATTTAAAATAATCATTGATACAATTAACTTCTAATTAAGCATGCTTGGCACAACAAATGATTATAACTCACAATGGAACAAGAAGGTAGTGGATTAAGGTGTCCCTACCTCAAATTTACACAAAACCCTTAAAATGGGTCTTGAAATTCGAACTCCAAGAAGGGCACCAAATCTGGAATTGTTCGTATGGATGCGTAGAGCTCGTCGTAGGTTTCGTTTTACCTCAAACGGCACCTTAATCCGATAAGAGATGAGAGAGAAATTAAGCCTTGAAGCTTTGAAGAACAAAAATGAAAAAAAAAAGAGAACTACTGGACGAGAGAGAGTGTGATACGCAGAGAAGAAGAAATAAGTCACTATATTGGCTTATAAATCATGTGGGCCCCATAGGTGAATAAAATTTTATTTAACTTTAACATATATATATATATATATATATATATATATATATATATATAAAGTCAAAAACATTACAGTTTTGCTGCAAACGGCTTCCGAAAACTCCAAGAAATGAGGAAATAATCAAAGATTGAAATAGTATAAAATGAGAAAAAAAGAAAAAAAAAACGAAAGCAAGGAGAGAAAGAGGAAGCTCAGCCCAAGTCCGGAGTAAAAATGACTACAAACTGATGTGTGTGATCTAAAATATGTTTAGTGCTTTGTGGGTCCACACAAAAAAACAAAAAAAAAAAAACAAATATCTCTTTTATACTTATGCACATTTAATAAACATTACAAAAATACCTACAGAACAAGCATCCACTTCCCCACTCCCATGAAAGAGAGCAGAGATCAACGTGCTAGTGATTTAGTGGTATCAGTTTCTTACTTCCTAAAGGAAGATCAAAAGTTTAAGTCTTAAAAGAGACGTGTGTGTGTGAGTATCAACTAGGGAAAAAAAAAAGGAGTAGGGAGAAAAACAAAGGAGAAGAAGGGTTTGTCTGGAGAGAGGGTTAATGTCTATATTTTTGGTATTAATGATTTCTTTAAAATCATATTAATTTGATAAGAATTCATAAAACACTGAATAACCCAAAATCTCTGTCAACTGCCACATTAATTATAATAATATCAACATAAATGAAATTTAACATTTTTATTAAAATATTACTGACAGTAACTCTGCAACAATCCAGACTAATCTAAGGCTCTTTGTTTCGACCTAAATTTTTCAGGTAGAATATTTCTTTCTAGACAAGAAAGTAATCACAGTATGGGAAAACAAGGAGGAGGAGTTGACAGAATATGATAAAACAGAATGCTGAGAACTAACCTTAAGAAAGAAAAAAAAATGCTCAGAACTAGGAAAAAACAGAGTGCAGGGACATAGCAAAAATTGAAAATATCATATGAGACAAACAGGATTAGTGGAGTTCTCTTAAAGTATGAGGGACAACCCAAATAGGAGAAGGTTGAATATTCTTTAGGTGGAACAGGTCAAGGCTGTCATCTTCCAAGTTAAAGACCCCCAAATCATAACGTCCATCGCGTCATCCATGAGAGTCTTTCTCAATATATTCCGCAGTGAAGTAAATAGAATTCTTTCTCAATCCCGGGAAATCATTATCTGAGAGAGAAACAGAGTGATTTTGGCCAATAAACAATACCCGATCACCTAAGTTTGGAATATATATCCACTAGTTGTCAACAAAGTCTAGCTTATACTCATCAAATGCTTTCATCATGATTGGGGTGAAAACGTCGGTACCTCAGAACCATCAGCAATGCCCCTGAAGATTCCACCAAATACTTTGAAGGATTAGTATAAGGGTAAGATCTCACACTCTGTTGGTGGTTATTCATTGTCGGTTGCAATATTGGAGGATCAGTAGAAATTGAAATTTCAAGAGATCTCTTTGGAGAAGAAGGGTCGCTGAGATTCCAGGATTCTACATCACCACTCCTGCTCACAGCATAAAAAAGTTTGTTCTTGCTGAAATACAAGAGATCATCATAGGAGCCCCATACGGGTGAATCTAATGCATTCCATGAAGTGTCCCCAATCCTGCAGAAGGCAAGTCGTTTTGGGTGCTCAGTGTCTAGGATTGCCATAACTGTGCAGTGAGGGTCTTCTTGATCAGCAGCATTCTGATAGTGATCGGAAGCAAATGGGGTTGGGGCTGAGGACATAACAACCTTCTTGAAGATAGTCTCACCCAGGAAATGACACGATCTGGGTGATCTCTCTTTCCATAGCATGAACTCGAACTCTGTCTCACCGGAGGGAGCGTTTCGATTGGAGGGAGGGGAAGGGTATGGAGGTATCGATAAAGGGATTGTAAAGATAGAGGGCAAAATTGAGACGGTGGATAAATACAAGCCAACCATGAGAGGAACCAATATGATTCACTCAATTTTGTGATTCTTGCAATGGGGTCCACAGGTTCAATAACTGTGCTTTTGCAGTAGGGACAGTACCTAGCACCCCTATCCCTCTCGCCCTGGCGGTCAGCAACCATACAAGGAGGTACCATTAGCCACGGGGAGGCGGACAAAAGAGTAGTTCCTCTTGTTTCTGTTAATGGTTGTAGAGAAGAAGAAAAACAACGTTGCGTAGGGTTTGGGGTCTGTATAGCAATTCCTTGAAGATGAAGAGAAAAGTCCGATGATTGGATGGAGGAGAGTAAGTAAACAAGTAGCAGTTTTGTGAAAGGACGGCCATACTTTTGGCACAGATCGATGGCAAAATAGCATAGAATGGGCAAAAGCCCATCTCTGTCTATTTGTAGCCGCCTCGATCTGTTTGGCTGTTTAATTAAGAGAGCTTGTATGTTTGTAAATTTAGTAGGGCACATCCTAAAATTTCTCTAGCAAATCTATTTCTATAGATGACCATGAAGAAAAGGACAGTCATGTAAACAGGATATTCTTATTCTATGTGACCATGAAGAAAAGGACAATCATGTAAACAGGATATTCTTATTCTATGTGAATTATGTTAATGAGCGTTTGGATACTATTTTTTTGGGAGTCCCGAGTCTTGTACTCTTTTGACTTTTCTTTAATTACTAACTTTTAACATTTAAAAAAAAAAAAAAAAAACACATTTGCACTCTATGAATTCAACCGAATATATGATCTTGTATATTATTAGTGAGTCAGATAATATGTGACTGCCAAATGTAATGTGCTAGTAATTGATGTACAGCCAAATTTAGGCTTGAGCAGTGCCAAATCCCTCCACTTCTGCATCATTTGTTTCGGGTATAAAATGATCATTTGTATGGAATTCGTTGCAACAAATGTAAGGCACCACAAAATGAGTGGCTAGGACTACTTTTTCACCTTATCATTCCTTGTTTTGGTATCTTAGATTTCGTGTGTATTTTTCATTTTACATGATATTTATGTATCATGGTCTTTGTAATACACAATGAAATGAATAAACCTTGTTTTTGTGAAATATAGGAATATATTTTTTCAGCTTATGTTTTATTAATAACTTATATTCAGCTTATATTATATTAATCTTAATGAAATGAATAATAAACCTTGTTTTTGTGAAATATTGGAGTATATTTCAGCTTATATTTTATTAATAACTTATATTCAGCTTATATTATATTAATATTATAGGTTGCTTTTCAAAGATGCATATAAAACAAAAATTAAATAAAAAAATCTGGTTATGAATTGTGCTTAAGGAAGTCACTTTAAGTTTAAGTGATTAAGGTGGAAATTGGATTGCAGCATGTAGTGTCTGGTGTTCTGTGGTTGTGTCTCTTATAGTTGTTGGGTTATCCACCCACAATTAAAAGAAAAGAAAAAAATGATTTGTTGTCCCCTACCGTGTGTATTTCACTTAATTTTTGAAATGAATTTTATGGATTGGATTCACCTTTATTTATTTATTTTATAAAGAAATTTAATATGATCCGTGTATGCAATTTGTTGTGAAATACACTAATATAAATATATTATTATATTCCCACTTCGTGCTGTAAAAGATATAAGAACCTTGTTTATCAATAATAATATAAGCACTAAAACACTGACACAAGATCTCAAATGCCCATAAAATCAAACTACCAACACGAGCTGCTCATGAAACAAAGTGCATCCAAGTGATAAACAATTAAAAGCTACTTGCTAAAAAGTTATTCTATGCCATAATCCAAATTAGCTAAACCAAACTACCACATAATTAAAAGGATTATATTCACTTTAAAAGGAAAAACAAGGGGAAGAATAACCAAAAGACTTTGTACTGAAATATCATGACTCCATGCCATATTCAAAATGACCTGCATCATCACACAATAAGCAAAATTCTATCAGATATATGCTACCAAAAAAAATATATATAAAACTTCAAGTATGCCAATGAGTGAAGATTTTTGTGTGTCCGGACTCCAATCAGTGTGCCACTAAGAAATATTTAAATAGGACAAAAGGCTCCAAATCCATACATGTTCACATTATATTTCAACAAAAAGTAATATTCTCTAGATATCACGAGTAAAGACATTTTTTTTAAGCCAAAAGACACCACGGACTGAGCAAATATATAGATTTGGTATGAAACAAACAGGATTAGTGGAGTTGTCTTCAAATCTGAGGGACAACCCAAATAGGAGAAGGTTCAATATTCTTCAGGTGGAAGATGTCAAGGCTGTCATCTTCCAAGTTAAAGACTCCCAAATCGTTATGACCAGAAGGGCATCTATCAGAGTCTTTCTGAATATATTCGGGAGTGAAGTAAATAGAACTCTTTCTCAACCCTGAAAAATCATTAGCGGAGAGAGAGACAGAGTGATTTTGTCCAATAAACAATACCCGATCGCCTAAGCTCGGAACATATACCCACTTGTTCTCTACAAAGTTCGGCTTATACACATCAAATGCAGCGGTGCATTTTTTGTCACTACTATTGCGAAAATGTGGGTACCTCAGAACCATCATCAATTCACCTAAAGATTCCACCAAATACTTTTTAGGACGAGCATAAGGGTAACCTCTCACATTCTGTTGGTGATTATCCATTGTGGGTTGCATTAATGGAGGCACGGTAGAAATTACAAGAGATCTCTTTGGAGAAGAAGGGTTGGTGAGATCCCAAGATTCCACATAACCACGCCTGCTCAAAGCATAAATTTTTTTGTTCTTGCTGAAATACAAGAGATCTTCATAGGAGTCCTCGTCCTCTAACGGTGAATCTAGTGCAGTCTATGAAGTGTCCTCAGTTCTGCAGAAGGTTAGTTGTTGTGGGTGGTCTTTGCCGTAGATGGCCATAACTGTACAGTGAGAGTCTTGATCAGCACCAAATGGGGATGGGGCTGAGGACATAATAACCTTCCTAAAGAAATTCTGACTTAGGTTGTCTGCCAATACGGGTAACATCTGTTTCCATATCATGAACTCTGTAAGTACGTTTTCAGAGGGAAATACGTTGACACCGCTGAGGCGTTGGCTTGAGATAACTGGAGGGAGGGTTTCGATTGGAGGGAGGGGAAGGTAGTGTTGGGATTACATGCCCTACAACCCAATTATTTATGATTAATTCGATATTTTATTAATAAATATAATATTCATACATTGAGTTTTACATATATTTGCATGAGATGTGTTATTGTCCTCAAGTTGCATTATAGGTGACTTAAGTGTGTAAATGAGATTTACATGCAGGAGAATTGGGCTCACTGGTTTTTTGCACCTTGGCATTGTTCGCAGTCAGTTATAAAAGTTGGGCACTTTTATCTATAAGACTGTATCACACTTGCCCTCTATAAGATATGATGATTTGTCTCGACCATTGTGATAGTTGACTCTAAGATAGTGTGTTATTGTGAACTGAACTTGAGTACACTGAACTGGATCACCGTAAGATCACACCATACAAATTATTTGTTATCTTATTTTGGTGTGATTATTATCTACTAGATACATTAAGCTTTAAATCCTGAGAGGTTTAGTACGTGGACTCAAGTTTCAGTATTGGTCACTTTGACTTATCAACATGTGAGATCTTTTAAGGTCAATACCATGGTATCTTGGGTGGTTAATGTTGGAGCTCTGGGAATACAAATGCTCAACATGAAATCCAAACTCCATAAGAGTTAGAACATCCCCTTGGTGCAATTTAATAAGTTTGATCACTAGAACCTGGTAAGGATATTTTAGTAAAATATTTACTAAAATATTTTTCTATTATTTATTGAGAAAAATATTTATTCTTTTATAAAAGAAATTCAGTGATTATAGAGATTTAGTTGGTTACTCAAGGAATATAAAATATAAGTAAGCCTTAGGTGAGACAGTAAATATTTTTCTGGGACTACTTATGAATATTTAGTAGTAGAGGGGCTTATATGTAAGATAGCGATACAAAAGATTATATCGTACACTAACCAGAATACAGAGGGTGAGAGAGAAGGTTAAGGTTTCACAAAAATCTATATTGAGGTCGTAGAGGTGAAAATTCATTGATATTCAACGCCAAAGGAGAAAGTGTTCCGTTTCGCTGTGATACAAAAATAGTGTTATTGTATTAGACGATTATTCAGTCGGCCAAAGGTCTGAGATCCCTTTATATTATTTATTGATTTGATGAAAAATCATGTAGTTACACTCCTGATTTATTTTAAATGTTTCTGTTGTGCCTTTAATTGGTATCAGAGCAACCCACGTCATTTTCATCAGTATGTTTTGAGTACTTGATAATGATAATGATCTATGCATGTACATATGTTATTTGCATGAATATGTGTTTTTTTTATTTGTCTATATGTTAATCATGAGATGGTGATAAAGTAAACAGTGAATAAAAAAACTTAATTAAAAAAATATATATATATTTTTGAATGTATGGGCGGCTGCACATTGGCAGCCGTTTGTGATCTTCTCTCCCATGCGATGGGTATCGTGTGTATATATATATATATTGCAATCTGATCTTCTATTGCAAGTATATATATTGTATAATGATGGCTTGATTGGGGAGCATTATAATCTGATTGTGGAGTCCTACCCATGTGATGGGCTTCGGTACACAGTAATATATATATATATATATATATATATTTTAAGTAAAGTAATGAGTCTCGTGAGATGAGAAACTATAGTTTTAATTTAAAATTATTTTAATCCTTTTTAACCTTGGATTAAAACATTTGTTAGATGCCATACAGTCAAACATAGAAATCTTTGATTGATTATATGTTTTATTTATTTATTATTATTATATTATCTGAGAATGACCATTGTTTGGTCACGGACTCACGGGCATCCTTGTGTATCTTTGATGAGAATTGAACACTGCACAAGACTAATTGATGAATATAATATATATATATATATATAGTATATTTTTTTGATTGGTTAACCCATGA